TGGCTACTTGCTAACCCTGCTTTAATAATTTAGCCCTGGGTTCTTATTTCCAGCTTGAACTTCAGACCTCAAGTCAAGTCAGGCATTTGTGCCTCTTTGTCATTAAAAAGCTACTCAGTATCAAATTTCAAACTCTGAGACAATGTCACAACCTTTGTTTTGGCTGTTGGTTTGGACAAACTCTTGAGGTGTAGGAAGGAGAGGAAGTTTGTTTCTAAAGAGGATACATTTTAAACAAAATTTGGAGGCATCGTGTGTGTGGTTTAGAAAACCAGGGCCTGTGACATATACTGTACAAGGAAATGGATGTGAATAATTTCAAATACTGTACAGTATATGGCAGTTTGTTTTTCTTTAAAGTCTACAGTTCCTTTGCAATTCAAGAACATTTGTGGTAGCAACTGATAACAGAAACAGATTCACAGGAGAATGTAAAAGTGCCCTTCTCATGGAAGTGTCAGCAGCCTTTTATCTGAAACGTCCAAGAGGCACAGATGTCTTGGCTCCATGGTTTTCCATATTCTGCAATGAGTACGTAAAAGAAAAAGAGCAGGAAATATTAGTAACCTTTAAAGGGAAATGTTTCCAAAGGTTCTGTGAGGTTTGGTCTCTCCTCTTTGAAGCCACTTTCAGCTGTGAGTTCTTGTAGGAGTGGGAAATCACAGAATCCGAGGTTCGGTCGGTGTGTTTCTTTAAGAACCCCACAGAATGAAGGTAGGTTGGCAGCAAAGGCCTTGCTGGCATTCACAGAAGGGGCAAAGTCAAGCAGGCTTCTTTAGTTAATAATAACTTCCTTAGGGTAATCGTCTTTAAGTGGCCCATAATTCTGTACGAGATACAGTCCATGAGCTTGCAGTATTACAGAGAAATTTTCTGGGGTGTGTGTGTGTGTCATGATTTTCCCCTCTTTCTGGTAATTGCGAGTGGCTGCCATGAAACCTGAAGAAGGTCCAACAGTCTTAGAGAAAGCCAAGTGCCCAGAATGGCACTTTCTGTCCGACGGCAGAGTATCTTTGTTGCAAAATGCGATCACTGCTTGGATCCGCTTTTGCAGCCATGCTGATAATAAACCCTGCCAGTCTGAAGAGCTGGGATTCCCTCCGAGGACTGAGTTTGTGCTGGCGGCAGGCTGTTGGTGGCCACTGGCTTAAGAACTGTTGAATGTGCCGGATTCCCCCAAGGACACTCTCGTCCTGTCTCTTGGAAGTCGTCTAGCTGAGGGAGGGGATTCCTTCTGGCTCTTAGCCTCTTTAGGAAGCTTAGATAGCCGCTCTCTCTGTGTGTGTCCCTTTCCCACCCCATAACACAGAGTCTGGGTGGTCCCTATACTTCTTGCCCACAGGGTTTGGCCGGTGCTTGGGCAGTAGCAGGTGAAATGGCACAGCAGTGCGTGTGTCACTGAGTAGTTGAGCATTTGTCCCGCAGCGCTTAGAAACCATGTACCAAAGGCTGCCTGGATGGTCCATCCATGACAGGACTAAGCCTTAAGCCCTTCTCCCCAGCTTACTAGCATAGGGGGACTAGCATAGGCATGGGCCCCCAATTTGCCTCCTGAGCATTGGCATTTCTCAAGCCTTCACTGAAATCTGAAGAATGGGTTAGGAGGCACAGCTCACAGGTCTGCCCGTCTGATTTCAGTCTGGCGTGGAGCCTGATCCTGTACGTTTCTACACGAAAGCAAGGCCCGCTCAACATTCTGGCAGATGTGTGTAGGCTGTAGCTCTGCTGCCTGATCTCTGGTGCTTGTTTACTTGGAAGGAAGCCCTGCTGAGTCAAGCTGGACTGGTTTTGCCTTGCCGCTTTCCCCTGGTGGAGGATTTTAGGCTAAAATTAATCAGCCACAGATGGTCCAGCAGCGAAGGAACTCCAGAGGTGTTCCCAGAGCTCACCAATGCTCTTGTGGAGCTGGAAGGGGTGCCTTTGACGGATGCTGCACCCATTGGCTTCCCACCGTGGTCGCAGCCTTTAAAACTGAGCTTCTCTGTCAGAGGGGTGGCAAAAGAGTACCTCGCCGTTTTCTCTCTCTGGTGTGAACTTCTCTGTTGCTTGCAGGGTGCAGGGCGTAGAGTGCTTTGCAACACTTCATTTAGTAGCAAGACAACTCCGTTATTTAGACAGAATTTCATAATATGAGAAATGTTACCAAACAGGTTTTTGCATCTGTCTGTTGAGAGAAAAATCTCAAGATAGATCCTGGGCGTTTGTTCACACATGTGCCTCCCTTGATCTCTCAGAAGCCTGTGTTCTTTGTGCTACATGGTTTCTGACTCTCGACACCCAAGCAAGTGCTGTTCCTTCCCTCTCTGTGCAGGTGTGAATGAGCGAGGAGGTGCCTCCGGCCGCACTGAGTGAGATCTGCCTTCGTCTTTTGTGCCATGATGACATAGACCACGTCAAGCAGCTCTGTGGTGACTGGTTCCCTATTGAGTACGTGGCCTTCGTTTGGCTGGGAAGGGAGGAGGAGGAAGAAGGGAGTCTTTCCTTGAACTGGATAAACTGGGAAGTGTAACTGGACAGGAGGTTAACCCTTGCAGCTCAAAGGAGCCTTTTCCTACGTGTGTAGGAATTGGGTGGCAGGGAGGGGAGGTGTGGGAAAAACTGATCAGAAACCCAAAAGGGTTTTTAAAAAAGTCTGGAGGATTTCAAATGGAATACTTGATTAGGAATAATGTTCAGTGGAGTATGTTTAATGATGCTTAAATGTCTTATTTACACAAAACCAAGAGCTTACTTAAAATCATTTTTTGATGGAATGCTCATGTTTCATTTATGTTTTATTTATATTGCCATGTTTAAATATCCTTTGAGATTGCACAGTTTTAAAGCGGTTTGCATTAAAACATGCATCAAAGACAATGTTGAAACACTTAAGAACTGATAAACAGAAAAGCACAGAGCTATCATATTAAAGCAAAACAGCCATTGTCTTTTGAGGATGACCAGCAGAAACAAGTGTGTTTCCTGCAGGCTTTTGATGCTGAACATGGTCTTCATGTAAAGCAGGACCATTCAGCAGCACACCTTTCTATACAGCATCATCGTTTACATTCCCATAAACGCATACTGAAAACTGAATGTGCTCACTTTAGCAGGGCCAAAGAATGGCAGAGGGGGGTTTGATCTATGTATGCATACTTCCCAGGCCGTGATGGCATGCAAGTGAGTTAGTTTGTATGTTTATTCATTTATATTTACAGTATTTAAAATATTGTTACCCCACCATTCTTCTTAAAAAGAACCCAGTGCGGCTTATAGCACTGAAAAACAATATTTAAAAGCTAAAAACAATTATACAGATGTTAAAAAGGATGAAACAGACATCGCACTAAAAAACAGTAAACAAAAGCAAGACCAAAAACACCTTCAAAGCAGCAAAAAGGCACAACCATCCATTTCAAAACAAACCACTCAAGCAGGCAGCCGGTCACTCAGGGAAAGCTTGCTGGCACAGTTTGATCAGCGTTTGTTGTGCCAAGGGGTCATTTTTCTGAAGGAATGCATTTTTTGGAAATGGAAAAGGATCTGTGGAAAAAGATAGTAGTGGAGGATTTCTCCCGGTCCGTCCCTGTTCCCCTGAGAGCTGATGGGCTCCCCTTTGCAATCCTGCTGCTTTCCTCTCCAGGTACCCTGACTCATGGTATCGAGATATCACCTCCAACAAGAAGTTTTTCTCCCTGGCGGCCACCTACCGGGGCACCATCGTGGGGATGATAGTGGCCGAGATCAAGAGCCGGACAAAGGTGCACAAAGAGGTAGGAGGAGGAGAGCAGAGGGGAGCACTCCTCAGGTCTGCCCCCAGGTGCCTCTCGGTGAACTGGGGGCGGTGGGGGGGGGTTCGTCCTGCTTCAAGTCACAGGGGCCCCAACTTCCCACCTGAGTTTGCTTTTGCAGTTTTCATGGTTCCAGCTTTGGAATGGGAAAGGCAGCCTGTGCAGCTG